ACCCAATGCTCTTATTGTGCTGGTCACAGAAGCAGTGCAGTCACTATTAGCTGATGTTAGACATTGATTGATTGAAAATACTGCTCAGTGTCAGTGGAGAAAAGTAACAATCGGACATACAGTTCAGCAGATATTCTCTACCTTTGTGGTCTAATAAATTTTAAATATATATTTGTCACCTTCTTTGTTCCAATTGGTATGTCTCATTTCCTACTAGGTGGCTATTTTTATGATGATTTTTATAATTAGCTATATCTAATTTCGTGCCGTGCATTTTAATGCCATGTTTTCATGACATATATTTTTGTTTCTTTTGTCTTGAGCTTTATTTGTATTTTCTGAATGCAGTTTAATGGAACAAAATGAACAGAATAGAAAATTAAAATGTTAACATGTTTACTCGGATGTGGAATTGAGTTTACAGGTTTTTTTTTACACTAGATTTTTAAGTCTGACAACATGCATTTGGTTGTTATGAAACCAGTTTTGTGAACTCAGGTCCACACCAACAGTCTGTATACTTTAATGGGGAAAAAATTTAATGTTTATCCATTTATTTGCAGCCATACACATTTGTCAAGATCTGAAAGAGGTTGTCGTCAGCGCTCTGATAACCCACTTCTCTCACCTGCTACTCCCAGGAAAATAGCCTTAAGTGGCATGCAAACCCCAGTTGCAGGATCAAACGGAGGAGAGGAAATCCCTGCAGATTCTCACTGAGAAATTGTTATCTGGCTGCCAGATCGTTTGAGCAGGCACACCAGTAATTAATTGCAGTTAGGCAAAGAGCCAGTAAGCAGGCACATGCTAAGAGAGCAGACATCCCTCTCATTAAAATGGCTGGCATGAAAACGACAGGGTAATGCAGGCTTTGTGTGTATTAAACAGGCTATAGCTAAAGAGAAGGCATCCAGTCAAGATATATGATGTAAGTGCAGTGCATGAGTGTAGACTGGGATATGGGCGGAAGGATATGTTCCTAACAGACTAGTTAATAGTCCTTTCCAGTACATTTCTGTGACATATTTTGCAGGTGGTGCTCGCACCAAGAGATGCCGAAAAGTGGTAATACTTATTTTCTGTGCGCTTTTCTGAAACGGAAGGCCACAGTGTGGGAAATTAACAGCTGAAAACTTTACGTTTGCCCTGTTGATCTTGACAAGTGTGTCTGACTACAAATAACTAATCAATCGTTCCTCAATAAGTAAAATATGGTCTGATGTGTCGAAATGTGACAGGAAAGCAGAGTTTAAATACACACAAGGCGATATTAAGTAGATCACTTGGGCATTCATGGCAAATGTAAGTGGTAGTCAGAGTTTGACACATGCTGGTATATGGCAAGATGCCTGCGGGCCGGTAGATTCTAATGTAGACATCATTACAGTGACTGTGGAATTCTGCCTTTAATCCTGAAGCAAAAGCCATAACCGCTGAACAGAGTGTAGAAACAAAGAAAACATAAGGAGGCAGAGCGAGAGCAAGGCTGAGAGAAGGGCCCCTGTGGTTCTGGGGTCACGACACTTTAATGGGGAAATGCTGATGCTGTCATTTTTAACACATTACATGAGGTCCCGTCTGAACTCTTGGCAGGGATTGAGGAATGTCTTCTTTTTACTCAGCTAAAATCAATTTCATGTGCTGTGAATAATTTTAACCTCTACTACAACAAAAACCTAAAAACTAAATTAGCATTTTTGTCAGGAAGAAGTAGGGCTGGGCGATATGGCCAAAAGAATTATCACTATAAATTTCAAATCTTTATTTCTTTCAAGTTTAAAGGCAGATTTTTGATCCTGAGTGAAGGTTGTAGAAACCAGACCATTAATTTTGGTTTTAAACTACTCTTTATGGTCAGAACATGACAAGAACTTCACGTTTTTGAATTCTTTTTTTTCCCCCTTAAAATAAATATCTTCATAGAAAAATTCATTTCGTAGTTTCTGCATGTTCTAATGAGTGATACTCTTTCAAATCATCAAACAGGTTTGTGTTGCTTGATTTTGATGAAACATATCTTCAGCACAGTTTGCAGTGCAGGCTGCAATATTAATATTTTTTTTTTACACTAGATTTTTAAGTCTGACAACATGCATTTGGTTGTTATGAAACCAGTTTTGTGAACTCAGGTCCACACCAACAGTCTGTATACTTTAATGGGGAAAAAATTTAATGTTTATCCATTTATTTGCAGCCATACACATTTGTCAAGATCTGAAAGAGGTTGTCGTCAGCGCTCTGATAACCCACTTCTCTCACCTGCTACTCCCAGGAAAATAGCCTTAAGTGGCATGCAAACCCCAGTTGCAGGATCAAACGGAGGAGAGGAAATCCCTGCAGATTCTCACTGAGAAATTGTTATCTGGCTGCCAGATCGTTTGAGCAGGCACACCAGTAATTAATTGCAGTTAGGCAAAGAGCCAGTAAGCAGGCACATGCTAAGAGAGCAGACATCCCTCTCATTAAAATGGCTGGCATGAAAACGACAGGGTAATGCAGGCTTTGTGTGTATTAAACAGGCTATAGCTAAAGAGAAGGCATCCAGTCAAGATATATGATGTAAGTGCAGTGCATGAGTGTAGACTGGGATATGGGCGGAAGGATATGTTCCTAACAGACTAGTTAATAGTCCTTTCCAGTACATTTCTGTGACATATTTTGCAGGTGGTGCTCGCACCAAGAGATGCCGAAAAGTGGTAATACTTATTTTCTGTGCGCTTTTCTGAAACGGAAGGCCACAGTGTGGGAAATTAACAGCTGAAAACTTTACGTTTGCCCTGTTGATCTTGACAAGTGTGTCTGACTACAAATAACTAATCAATCGTTCCTCAATAAGTAAAATATGGTCTGATGTGTCGAAATGTGACAGGAAAGCAGAGTTTAAATACACACAAGGCGATATTAAGTAGATCACTTGGGCATTCATGGCAAATGTAAGTGGTAGTCAGAGTTTGACACATGCTGGTATATGGCAAGATGCCTGCGGGCCGGTAGATTCTAATGTAGACATCATTACAGTGACTGTGGAATTCTGCCTTTAATCCTGAAGCAAAAGCCATAACCGCTGAACAGAGTGTAGAAACAAAGAAAACATAAGGAGGCAGAGCGAGAGCAAGGCTGAGAGAAGGGCCCCTGTGGTTCTGGGGTCACGACACTTTAATGGGGAAATGCTGATGCTGTCATTTTTAACACATTACATGAGGTCCCGTCTGAACTCTTGGCAGGGATTGAGGAATGTCTTCTTTTTACTCAGCTAAAATCAATTTCATGTGCTGTGAATAATTTTAACCTCTACTACAACAAAAACCTAAAAACTAAATTAGCATTTTTGTCAGGAAGAAGTAGGGCTGGGCGATATGGCCAAAAGAATTATCACTATAAATTTCAAATCTTTATTTCTTTCAAGTTTAAAGGCAGATTTTTGATCCTGAGTGAAGGTTGTAGAAACCAGACCATTAATTTTGGTTTTAAACTACTCTTTATGGTCAGAACATGACAAGAACTTCACGTTTTTGAATTCTTTTTTTTCCCCCTTAAAATAAATATCTTAATAGAAAAATTCATTTCGTAGTTTCTGCATGTTCTAATGAGTGATACTCTTTCAAATCATCAAACAGGTTTGTGTTGCTTGATTTTGATGAAACATATCTTCAGCACAGTTTGCAGTGCAGGCTGCAATATTAATATTACAAAAATGATAAATGTAGCAGTATTTTTTGTCTCTTAGAAATGCACATTTGACAGTAGCTTGAGAGAGGATGCAGATGTAAATTGAAGTTCGTTATCAAAAACGGTAACATCTGTAAAAATGATACAACCTAATTTTTATATGGTGAAATGTAATTATTCTGACTGTTTGATAACCACAGTTAAAAATACACACACAACACCTCTATACCACTGTAAAAATGTAACTATATGGTTTCTAGGTATTTGTATGAAAAACAGTAGTCTAATTACACTTCCATAGAAAAATTCATTTCGTAGTTTCTGCATGTTCTAATGAGTGATACTCTTTCAAATCATCAAACAGGTTTGTGTTGCTTGATTTTGATGAAACATATCTTCAGCACAGTTTGCAGTGCAGGCTGCAATATTAATATTACAAAAATGATAAATGTAGATTATGCACATTTAGAAATGCACATTTGACAGTAGCTTGAGAGAGGATGCAGATGTAAATTGAAGTTCGTTATCAAAAACGGTAACATCTGTAAAAATGATACAACCTAATTTTTATATGGTGAAATGTAATTATTCTGACTGTTTGATAACCACAGTTAAAAATACACACACAACACCTCTATACCACTGTAAAAATGTAACTATATGGTTTCTAGGTATTTGTATGAAAAACAGTAGTCTAATTACACTTCTTACATTATATTCCATTACTCCTTTAATACATTTAATACATGTCTACATTAATAATATAATAAAATTCTATATGAATATTCGGTATTTTTGCCACAATACCATGGTGCAGTTAGTGTTACTACAGTAAATCTATGGTGAATGACGGCGATTTGTAGATCGAAAAGCATTCAATCTGGCCGCAGGCCATCAGGCAGTTCTTGTTGTCGAGAGCACATGTGTCCATTCATGTCAATGTAATAGCCTATTAAACGTAATATTAAAATAGCTAATTAAAGGAAAATAAAATGCAAACCAGAATAAGTGTTCATTTATTAGCTCCGCCCCTTTACTGTAACTAGTACAAGCCCACATCTCTTGGCATCTTGTTGAAAACCATCGGAATGCTTTGCAGAATCATAATTGTAGCCAAACCAAAATCACATATGGAGAAAATCACTTACATCATTTATGATGGGAAACATTTGCTTTCCTGAAACAGACACATTGTTGTTGCTTTATTATCAAAATTTTGTTTCACTCGAGAAAATGTTTCTTTAATTTACGGTGAATGTTTGTCTTTGTGATTTTGGGGTGATTGATACACAAAATGGACTATAGTTTTTTGTTGTTGTTGTTTTTTTCAGATATATTTCAACAGTTCAGCATGTGAAAACAAACCTCAACACAAGTTCTTATCGTGTGAACCGTATGGGTGGAGAGTGACCTCAGAGCCTCTATTATTTCTATTGCTCAATCAGCCAGATGGGGAAACAAGGGAATTCTGACGCTACACTTGTTGCCAGTGCTTGAATCCAAAAAGTGAAGGAATTTAAACTTACAGGTCTGAAATTGTTCCTTTATGTTTAAAATCAGTGTTTTATCAGAGTAACTAAAAATAACGATGACACTAACTTTTTTCAGTAGTTCAGTGGTTTTCAAAACCATAGTTTTTTCCTGCTTCAAGCTGCTAGTTCTGTCATTGCTGTCTTACATCACATTGTTTGCATTTATTTATTTTTTTTGCATGAAATTAATCGATAATCCAGCAATATACTCCACTTTGAAAATCTCCACTTTGTCTCTTATACCTTGGAAATTCCGATTAATTATCATTAATTAGTTCATTCAGAACTTCTAAACTTACTTCGGATTCTTCACTAAAGAACTCGTCCACAAGTTTAAGGTCATAATTTTTTTGTTTTGTTTTTTAAGGCATACTCTTACCAAGGCTGCATTTATTTGAATTTGAAATATTATTAAAATGTACGATAACAATGTTTAACTCTTTGAATACATTTTAAAATGGAATTTATTTCTGTGATGCCAACTCTGAATTTTCAATGGCAATTACTCCAGTCTTCAGTATCACATGATCCCTAGAAATCATTCTAAAATGCTGATTTGCTACTCAAGAAACATTTTTCTGTTAAAAAAAAGCTGTGGAAGCTGTGATGCATTTTTAAGGATTCTTTCATGAATTAAAATTTCAGAACAATATTTATTTCAAGTAGATATAAAGGATGGAGATCTCCTCTAACACCATCCACCATCGCTGGCTTGGTGGCATATAGAGTTCATTATATATAAGTAGAGTTAAAGTTGAAGGTGTACAGACTGTATGCGACAGTGACAGCATGGGTGGTCCCACAGGAGTGGTGGTATTTTTTATTTACAATGGGGCATGTGCAGGAATGGTCTGTAATGCACTGTAGCTCTGTGAATGCTGATGCACAGTGGCTTGGCTTGCCTCCTCTAGCAGTAATGAAGTGTGTATTTATGGAAAAGCCTGTGGACTGCAACCTGAGGTCATGCCCCTTAACTCAATCAACCAAGATTAATTCTGACATGGTTTGCCCAAGATTCTCTCAGAGTGAACATTTTTAGTCTTATTTGGTATGAATGTGAAAATATCCATCAGTCCTGTCTAATTAAAGTAGAGGTCAAACCACTTTTTTCCATTCTAATGTCCTGCCTTACTGAGAATGTCCTCCAAATGATTTAAGCAGTGTGCAGAGTTCAGTGTTAATATAAAAGATTAAATATGAACATGTTTAATTAATGTTTGACAGAAAATCAAGTATTTTTTGCATTATAATTTACCGTAAAACCAAACATTTTGTGAAGCGTGAAAGGTGTGCTTGACTTTCTTTTCAAATAAAATAAATGGAACTTGTTTTGATATTTTCTTACCTAATGCATTACATTTAACTGTGACTATTTGGAGCCACAGTACTTTATATCACAGTAATGCTTTTGATTTTAGGTCTAGTAGTTTTTTTATTGGTGTCTTTATTTAAAACGATCTGCAGTTTTGAATGCTTCTTTACTATGTCACACCAACAGACGCCCGTATGTCTCTGGAAAAAACACATTTGCACACGCATACACATTTACAAGGCCTGGGTCTACAGAGCAAAAAAACATGCTCCTAAGGCAAATAAAAAATGAAGTATATAGAGCCTACGCTAAGTGAAATCCTTGACACCGTGGTGTGCAACATGAATTTAAATAAATTTTCCCTCTCTTTCCCTCCTCTTCTCCCCTCTCTATATAGGAACTGAGCTATATCGGCTCTGAATGAAGTCTGTGTGCTACTGGTTTAGAATGTTGTCACGATAACATCAGCCTGACTCCGCTCTGACTGCGGCAGGTGGGAGCCCAGGGGTCAGGTAACGGTGACACTGGGTCGTTTTAAGCCCAAACACACACACACACACACACACACACTCACATGCACGCTCACGCTAAGCCTGTAGCGGGATGTTTGCTACGGAAAATTCCGTTACCCTCGGAAGGAAGCTGATTATGACTGCTTGTTTAAACACCATGCCTGAATGTTTTTGCTCACTTTGGACACTGGGGTCTTTAGACTCCTTCTATCCTGCCATCCTTCACTGCAAAAATCAGTTGTAATGAGGATTTTTGTTGAGTAAATATATCTTAGCATATCTAAAACTAAATCATTTACTCAAGACTTGTTTTCTGACAACATATGTGACCCTGGACCACAAAACCAGTCATAAGTGTCAATTTGTAATAAGCTTTCCATTGATGTATGGTTTGTTAGGATAGGACAATATTTGGTCGAGATACAACTATTTGAGAATCTGGAATCTGAGGGTGCAAAAAAATCAAAATATTGAGAAAATCGCTTTTAAAGCTGCCCAAATTAAGTTCTTAGCAATGCATACTACTAATCAAAAATTAAGATTTATTATATTTACGGTAGGAAATTTACTAAATATATTCATGGAACATGATCTTTACTTAATATTCTAATGATTTTTGTGGTCCTGGGTCACATATGCTAAATGAAGTTGAATACTATTATTATTATTTATATTTTTAAGCACAAACCTGATTATGTTTTGATTTAAAATAAATGTATGCAAAACGGTTTTCAACTGGATTTAGAAAATAATCATATTCAAGATATATTCTCTGAATACATGTCTTAATATCAGTTTGTTCCTAAAGTAAAATTTCAAGTTTTCAATTTTGAATACAAGATTCTTTTGTCAAGAATCGTACAAGAATCATACAAGAATCGTACAAGAATCACGAATGTGCACATTAGGTCTTGTTTTTAAATCTTAATTTCTTGTTTTTAGGATGAACCTTGATACATTTAATAGATTTCTCTAAAACTTTGTAATTTTCCTTCTCAAATAAATGCATATTGTTTTAAGGATGTTGGGATGTTTTTAATTGGGTTTGAAAAATAGACTTCAAGGTTTATTCTTTGAAAATGAGTCTTAATGTCTTTGAAGAATGCTTAGATATTTTTACTGGAAAGTTAGATAAAAATACTAATTAAGAAAAATATTTTTGCAGTGATCTGGAAGCCAGTCTGATTGTCGAAATACAGTACTGTTTTTTGCTATGCTAAGAAGTAACATTGGTCATTTTTTGGTCATTTTATTCTTTGAAGCAAATTAATTCGTTTTTGGCACTGTGATATAATATTTGTTACGAGAAAATAAGAGATCAACAAAAGAACAAATCCATTTTAAATGACACTTTTAACGTCTTAAAAATATTCATTAAGGGCATTTTAATTATAAATAAGAGCCTTGTCTTTTGGAGATATCTGTGAAATGACAAAAGTCCTCAAGCGAAATAACTTTCAGACATGTGACCAGCCTCTGTCTTCTTCAGTGTAGCTGTTGCGTAATTTCTACAGGCCTATTCTAAAGCCCTACTGCTTTCTGCAGTACCAGTTACTCAAAAGTATCTTGCTTCTGTGTTTGATGGTTTAGGTGTTCATGAATAATGCTTCTGCAGTCTGTTATTGAATTTTAACTCTATACCCTTAATCGCTTTCAGATAAAGTGTTTTTCTTTGCACAGAGACCTCATCAGTATTTACCTCTTGTTTCAGTATCTGTCGTTTTGTGTTTTTCAGTCTGTGAGTGAGGGCTGAGTCAGGAGTGAATCAGCGCTGCTTTTGATTGACGGACAGCTCGGTGGGAAACAAGGCCTCGGGAGAGCGAGAGTCCGATAACAGGAGTGAAAGCGTCGCAACGGCAATATCATCTTTCAGTCTTTACTGCCACTCGTCTTTCACAACATGGCCTCTGCGGTAGCACCGCTCTCCTCTGTCGCTGCCTCTTTGGGGACGTAGAAAGACACGGGACACACAGACACATTCTTACATACTGCTGCAGAGGAAAGCTGGGGAAGTGTCTTCAGACTTTAAGGTCCTTAATAGATAAACAAACTGTGTTAAACGTCAGTACCATCACAACTACTGTTTCTTGGTTTGGGAATCGTCTTAGTGTTTCAAAGGGACTCATAGTACCATGAGCATTTTAGGAAGGTGCGTTCTCTGATTTTATATGTTCCTGTGTGACATCGAAGGCCAATGTGTGTGGCTCGAGAGCCCATCATGGCCAGGCCGCTGCTGAAGATCCACCGCTATTTCCGGCGTAAACCGATACGCTTTTTCTCTTTCATCCTCCTCTACCTCACCGCTGGCAGTCTTGTTTTCCTCCACTCCGGCTTCTCCAGCGATACTTCCACTACTGGAGCTTCTGGAAGCGGCCGTGACCCACTTATATCTGAAGGTGGGGGTGGCACAGGTGCTGGGAGCTCTACCTCTGATGCTCTCGGGCTCCTAGGAAGAGTGTTTAAGGAAACACGGAGAGCCCCCCGGAGATTTGGACCACCATGGATGAAGGAAAATGGGGCACAGGATGCACCGGAGTGGGCCAGACGAGGAGTCGATCGTACCAGCAGCTGGAGCCATGGAGCCAAAGGAAGAACCACCAAAGAGATGGACGATGGGAGAGGTAGGAACAGTTCCATTAATCATGTCACCATGATTTAACATCTGTTTTAACTTCTGTCATAAACATCTTCTTGGCTAGTTATAGTCATAGAAGATGTTTTGATATTAACCAAAATTGAAGAATGTTTGGCAAGACTATTGGCCAAACCAGTTGCCTAAAATGGAATGAATTTTCATTCTAGGCCAACCTGATTAATACTACACTGCAAAAAAAAAAATTTTTCTTGATCATTATTTTTGTCTTGTTTTCAGTAAAAAAAATCACAATATCTTAACCAATATACATTCATTTGAGGAGGAAAAAAAATAATTTCAAGAAATCTACCAAATTTATTATGGTTTGTGCTGAAAGCAGTAAAACAAATTGACATGTTATTGTTCTAAACATTAACCTCACAAAAATTGTTAGATTTCTATAAAACAAGACTTCAAATCTTATGTCAATTTGTAAAAAAAAGGGAAAGGGAAAGGGAAAATATCTTAAATGTATATTGTGTAAAGGGTGTTTTGATGTTTTTTTTAACCAGCATAGACAAAACATTTTGCTCATTTTGCTGGTGAAGCTAGTTGACTAGAACAGTCTCTCTAATTAAGCTGATTGACCAAGCAGGTCTTTCTGGCTAAGCATTTAAAACACTGCTGTCAGTCTTTGACTTTTCATCTTGATATACACAGAGGATTTTCCTTATTTAATAGAATACCTTACATGTTCTCACACAGACATGGCACATGCGGTTATGTGTGTTAAAAAAATTCATTATTAAAGGGTTAGTTCACCCAAAAATTAGCCCATAAATTACTCACCCTCAAGTCATCCTAGGTGTATATGACTTTCTTCTTTCAGACGAATCCAGTTGGAGTTATATAAAAAATTGTCTTTGATCTTTCAAGCTGTTTAATGGCACTCAGCGGGTGTTGCATGCATCAGTCTAAAAGCAGTTAATTAAAATGCGCCCATCCATAAAAAAAAGTGTCTCACACGGCTCTGGGGGGTGAACAAAGGCCTTCTGTAGCGAATCGATGCATTTTTGTAAGAAAAAGATCCACATTCAAAACGTAATAATCACTTTAATGTAGCTTGCGCTCACTGTTGTACATGGAAGCAGTTCCGGGCGGATGACGTATGAGGTCAGTGCTGCGCATGCGCCGCTCAGAAGTGACACACACGGAGGCGCGGGGGAGAGATCAAAACAAAACAACGGTCACTTATTAGAAGTACAAAACGAGGATTTGTAAAGAAGAATGTTGGAGGATTTCGATATAAGCCACGAGGAGACTGGTTTTCCTTTGCTAAAGTAAGGAAACTTTGCTTCCTTTGCTCCTGTTAACAAACGTTGGTTTTCACGAGACTCACCGGCGCATGCGCAGCACTGACCTCATACGTCATCCGCCCAGAACTGCTTCCAGTATACAACAGTGAGCGCAAGCTACATTAAAGTGATGATTACGTTTTGAATATGGATATTTTTCTTACAAAAATGCATCGATGGAGCCGTGTGAGGATCCCCCCGGAGCCCTGCGAGACACTTTTTTTTATGGATGGGCGCATTTTATTTAACTGCTTTTGGACTGATGCATGCAACACCCGCTGAGCGCCATGAAACAGCTTGAAAGATCAAAGACAATTTTTTATATAAGTCCGACTGGATTCGTCTGAAAGAAGAAAGTCATATACACCTAGGATGACTTGAGGGTGAGTAATTTATGGGCTAATTTAAATTTTTGGGTGAACTAACCCTTTAAAATTGCACTTCTGTCATAAAACCATAAAGCACAGTTCTCCTCTTTGCGTGATTGCAACCTCAGACACAGTGGAGAAAGAGTCATAATTTAGTGTATTAAAGCAGGAATTGCACTTCTGTCATAAAACCATAAAGCACAGTTCTCCTCTTTGCGTGATTACAACCTCAGACACAGTGGAGAAAGAGTCATAATTTAGTGTATTAAAGCAGGAACACTATGAGTGCGTTCCAATAGCCAAATAGTATCCTGACTTTACAGGGAAAACCAGGCATCCTAGGTGAGACTCCATATATGCCATATATGTTTAATTTGATTGGGTTTAGTTTGGATTTAATTTGAAGTAGAGAGTAACAATTACCCAATAGTCGTTGCATATATACAGTATATATATATATACACAGTCATCATGTTATGAAGGTTGTGGTTGACGCTCAGTGGAGTATGGCGAAGCGCCTGTGTCTTTAAAGGTTTAAACTGGAGGAATGAAGTGGCCTTTTGGTGACTGTTGAAGTAAATAATGAATGTGTGTGTGTTTCTAATGGTTGTAGTGTAGCACATTTGTTGTTGTTAGTTCATAGCCTTAGGTTGATGTTTCATAGCTCCTAAATAGGCCTATCTTGTTGCTGAGCAGCAGGCACAAATCTTAAAATCTTAAAATCAGGTAATGTATGATATTTTATAATGTATAATGTTTTAATTAACATAATAAGTAGTATAGAAAAAAAATACCTTTGATGCTTTTAATGAAACCTCATTTGAATGATCACAGTGAGAGCATTTATGGGTTAGTTATGGGTAAGTCTTGTGGAGTTGGAAAAATCGTACTTTCTCAAATCCCCAATATTCCTGTACATAAACGTAAAATCAGTTTATTAATCTTTGAAATAAAAGCTTCTTCTTTGAGGTGATACCATTAAATACACATGATGTGACCTGCATCATATTTGGTCCTCTATTAAAATGTGTTTGAGGGTGTTTGCTGAAGGTCTTGGATGTTAAAAGACTGAAAAAGGCCAATTTTCATCATCGCTATATATTTTTGTGACTGCTTGTCAAACAGCTGAGATGTCATGTACCACATTTGAATGAAAAATCAATATTGTCATTCCTAAAGGTCCGTTTACACCAAGTAATTAACAAAAACCATAACGATAACTAATGTTTTTTGAAAGAAGTCTCACTGAGGCTGCATTTATTTGATCAAAAATACAGTAAAAACTGTAATATTGTGATTTTTTTTAACAGTTGTGCTGCTTAATATTTTGGGGAAGCCGTGATGCATTTTATTTCAGGATTATTTGAGAATAGAAATTTCAAAAGAACAGCTTTTTTTTTTTTTTTTAGAATATTATTAATGTCTTTAGTACAGTGGCCGAGAAGTGCTAAACAAATCACAATTCTATAAATATTCTAATAAATATTCATTTGAAAGTATTTCAAATTTAAACAGTAGTGTATATTAGTGTCCACACCAATGTTTATTTTTTTAATGTGAGCTTCAGTTATGTTCTGTGAACAATTGCTCTGTGTGCTTTAAAGTATGAAGGAGTTTGATTGACTGTCAATGATTTTATCATTCATCAACTGGAAGAATCACTCTGAAAGTGATTGCAACAATATTGTTCCTCTGTTGTGGTGTGGATGCAGCAGTTCGCTTAAAATTAGAGATTTTTAAAACTTTAGTTATTGTTTTTGGTGTGGCCTTTATTCATAGACTTTGCATTTCTTCCTTGAGTAAAGAACCTGAAACTTTAGTTACTTGGTTTACAGGATGCATTTTGCAGCAGTGCAAGTTACTTCTATTACAGTGAACTTTAAACCACAAGAAACAGCTTGATAGAACTGCCCATGTGGGCCCCTGCAAAATTAAAGCATTTTTCTCTGTGAAAGATGGACTGCATCTGGAAAAGTCTCACCACAGTGCCCTATGTTAACTCACTATAGTTCACACAGTAACCCACAAACAGGCAAAAGAAAGCCAATTAGTGGATTGTTCAAGTCTTGGGTCATTACCTTTATCCATAGTGAGGTTTCAACAGATGGTTCTCAAGAGTAACCCTCAGGGCATTTTAAAGTAGTTTTAATGCATTAGTTAGGCCTTGTAATGCACTGTACAATCTCATGAATAATTGTACACTATAACACTTATCAATTCATTGTTACATCATGCATTTTTAATTCAGTTACAATTATTTACGACAAGATATAATGTATTGCAATGCACATTATGAATCATTCTAATTCCATTATACCCTTTAATAACCCTTTATGGTGCATTATACATAAAGGCTTTAAGTAAAGTGTTACCAAACACTTTAATAATAGACACTCTTATAAAATGAATAAATATTATTATGATAATGGACAAATATCAGACACAAAAGCAAAGAAAAAGACCTATCGTTTTTACATTACAGGAAATATTAAAGGTTAATATATGCAAAGTTCTAGCCTGCTGGTTAACTAAATCAAATATAAGTCTGATTCGGACGGTAATTGTTTCTCATGGGGATGTAAGCGATTTTGAACATTTACAGGGGTCAGTCGTGATTTTATTGCCGTCTGAGTCCAGAATCCTGGTGTTTTTCACCCTGGCCCAACTTTTCTCATTTTGGCAAACACTAAGGTCGTGTGGTAATTTAATTGTCATCCGAATCCACATCTCTGAGTTTCTAAGAAAAAAATCTATGCGAAATTCAATGTATAAATCCTTTCAACCACTGTATTATATGTGACCCTGGAGCACAAAAGCAGTCTTAAGTCGCTGGGGTATATTTGTAGCAATAACCAAAAATACATTGTATGGGTCAAAATGATTGATTTTTCTTTTATGCCAAAAATCATTAGGATATTAAGTAAAGATCATGTTCCATGAAGATATTTAGTAAATTTCCTATCGTAAATATATCAAAACTTCATTTTTGATTAGTAATATGCATTGCTAAGAACTTCATTTGGATAACTTTAAAGGCGATTTTCACAATATTTCGATTTTTTTGCAGCCTCAGATTCCAGATTTGTATAAATCTGAATGTTGAAAAATTGACACTTAAGTCTGGTTTTGTGGTCCAGGGTCGCATATAGGCCTATAATTACATGCAGAAAAATATAAACCAAGCAGCTTTATGTTTACCTTATATTAAATAAGAGGTTGCATTAATTTATTTATTAACATGAATGCATTCTTAATTATTATTCCAAGAATGTGACATTTTATTTACAGCAGACGATCATGTGACTGGCCATATAAGCAGTGTGTTCCCGGTTCGTAGGATCACAGAATTTGTTTCTCCGCTGTGAATAAATCATCCATGAGTTTTATCACTGAGGTGCCATGTAACTTTATTTTTACAGAAATCCAGAACAAGAAACAATTACCATCTGAAGAGGGCTATAGAAGCAAATTCCATAATGATTTTTTCTTCAAATTAATTTCATAATTGTATGCAATTTTGTGATATTGAGATTCATTTACATGTTATGTGAAGCTATTATAATTCATCCCTGTTCCCCTCTTGATTATATTTCGTATGTCCAGAGCAAACGGTTCATGCAGAGAGTGAGTACAGCGGAGCATCATTATCTCTGTAGTCGTGCTGCTAGTGAGAGTTTCATCCGTGCACTTAGCTGCTTCACAGAATGGCAATCCAGTGAGTGAATGAGTGAATGAATAGAGCTTGACTTGTAGATAAAGCAGATTACCGAGCTTGCCCTCTGTGCCTGGAATACGATTAGCTCGCAGCTCGTGATCCTGCTCGCTGCTTTTTAGACAATTGCAATTACTGTAATGTTGAACTGGTTAGTGTGTGTATGTGACAGAAGCATCCCATCTCAGCTATTAGAAAATACATGAAATCCTAATGGGATACGATGAGATTACAGAGGAAGAACGGATGTCAAGCGACAGGGCATTTTGGGTCATTTTTGTGTATGTATGTCACAAACGTTGAGACTGATGAAGCAAAAGGTGCAACAGACTGTGAATGTTTGTCCCAGAACAATGTGACTGTATCCAAACTGTAGATGTTTTATAATGAATTATGTCACAGGCTGTTTACATATGAAATGGTGTCCTCTGTATGGTAGCTACCAATCACAATATGTGTTGCCAGACTGTTAGCACTTGTTATAATTCAACAGAATATTCCGGGTTCTATACAAATTAAGCTCTTTACAAAAGAATGTTGATTATCACATTTTATTGCCTCAGTTTTTGAAACCAAGCAACATATTGTTTGCGTAATGCAGTTACAATGGAAATCGATGGGGGAAAATCATTGCCCCTGAATAAATATTAAAATACACACAAATTATAGTTAATTTATTATATAATTTATTTATTTATTAAATAATAATTTTATTTATTAATTTATTATATTTGTATTATATTTATTATATATACATACGTGTGTTTGTGTATATATATGTATATATCACATCCAAAATAAGTTTTTGTTTACATAATATATGTGTGCTGTGCTGTGTATATTTATTATGTATATATAAATACACACACATGCATGTATATATTTCAGAAAAACATGTTATTTTTATATATTAAATATATTTATTTATAATATAAATTATATGAATATAAATACAGACATGTAAATACATGTAAATATTTTCAAAATATATACTGTATGCGTGTGTATTTATATATACATAATAAATATACACAAAACTTTTATTTTGGATGTGATTAATTGCGATTAATCATATGACAACCCTTATATATATATGTATATATATTACAGACTAAAGTATTATAATTCTACTTATTCACAATATTTATAATATTTAAGTCTGTATTTTTAATTAATCCAGTGTTACTATTATATATTATTATTGTATTATTAAATATTTTTATTGTTATATATTCATTCTCTCATCCAGAGCAAAGTCCTATAGATCTGTGAGTTTACAGTTTGGCCACTAGATGGTGCTGTGTTTCAACATTTAAAAATGTGCTTTACAACCTTGAAAGTTACTCACCAGGATATAATTGTTACAAGATAACAATTCAGTACTTTAAAGTCTTTTTCTCAAATTGTTGTTACTGGAATTAGCAGTGATGTTTTTAACGTCTTTCTCTGTTTAGCAAAGCACATCGGCTGTTATATTGATGACACACAGAAACGGGCTCTTAGAGGGGTTTCCTTTTTGGACTACAAAAAAATGACTGTCTTCCGTTGTCAGGACAACTGCGCTGAAAGGTACGTCAGTTGAAACTTTTGATCAATGCACAAGAACACACACGTTTGTATCACGGTAAGGACTTCCTTTTGACTTGTATTGTTTATTATGCTCTGCTAATGAAGTTTTCTGTGCCTAACCACAAACCACAAGTTTAATAAAAGGTTCTTTATGGCGATTAGCAGATAACTGTTCCCCACAAATCAAAAGTTTTACTATCCTTTTAAGATGACATTTCCTGACTTCCACTTCCAAACGAACGCTCATGTTATATATATATATATATTACAGACTAAAGTATTATAATTCTACTTATTCACATATAAATACACAAGTATAAATATTATACTTATTTATAATATTTAAGTCTGTATTTTTAATTAATCCAGTGTTATTATTATATATTATTATTGTATTATTAAATATTTTTATTGTTATATATTCATTCTCTCATCCAGAGCAAAGTCCTATAGATCTGTGAGTTTACAGTTTGGCCACTAGATGGTGCTGTGTTTCAACATTTAAAAATGTGCTTTACAACCTTGAAAGTTACTCACCAGGATATAATTGTTACAAGATAACAATTCAGTACTTTAAAATCTTTTTCTCAAATTGTTGTTACTGGAATTAGCAGTGATGTTTTTAACGTCTTTCTCTTTTTAGCAAAGCACATCGGCTGTTATATTGATGACACACAGAAACGGGCTCTTAGAGGGGTTTCCTTTTTGGACTACAAAAAAATGACTGTCTTCCGTTGTCAGGACAACTGCGCTGAAAGGTACGTCAGTTGAAACTTTTGATCAATGCACAAGAACACACACGTTTGTATCACGGTAAGGACTTCCTTTTGACTTGTATTGTTTATTATGCTCTGCTAATGAAGTTTTCTGTGCCTAACCACAAACCACAAGTTTAATAAAAGGTTCTTTATGGCGATTAGCAGATAACTGTTCCCCACAAATCAAAAGTTTTACTATCCTTTTAAGATGACATTTCCTGACTTCCACTTCCAAACGAACGCTCATGTTATCATACAAATTCAGTCATCATAAACATGTAATTGCTCTCACCCTGGAGATATAACCCTTAACTGACAAACATGAGTAATTTAACACACTTTACGCTAATCTAATTCCCTTGACCCTTAATTAACTGAGAGGGGAGGGTTATCAGATATGCTCTAAATCATGGTTTTTACAGTTTAATATGACATTACCCTACCCCGCTCATATCATATGTTATTCATTTTATTTGTGCGTGTCTTAAAGAAGGTCTCAAATTTGAGCTTAAAAATCCTGCAGAAACTCTGGTTTACTTTAATAATCATTTTATTCTGCTTTTTACATCCTTGTCACATCACCACTCGTTGTTATTTTTATGAAAACTCGTTTTTCTACAGTTGCAGGTTTAGGACAACATTAGGGTGGGAAAAGGAATTCTTTTATATTTGGGTGAATTATTGATGTTGCTTTTCACTTTCATTCCTGTTAGCATTCTGGTGTACTTCCTCTTTATTCAGTTCCTCATCCCTACGTGCTTCCTGTCGATTCTTAACATCAATCTGTGTTTGGGAAAAGCCACAGAAAGAGAGAGGGAGGAAAAGAGGTTGTGGGATTCTGGCGTCAGGACTGCTTTAAAGGGAGTCGTGTGTATTACAGATATAGCGATTTGAGAGAGAGTGTCAAAATAAACAGCACATCTGTTTGCTCTCAGCATTGTGCTCCCACTCGCAACATTCAAGAATCCTGCCACCCATATTGAGGAGATTAGGAGCAGACGCAGCCTGCATAGGGATGAGCCAGAAACTGAAGGACATCCTATTACTGTCCTCCTTTGATAAAAAATCATGCATATAAAATTGACCTCATGCATCATGTTTCAAAGGACAGCTCTATTTTATAAACAAGTTCTCTGAAGCATTGAAACCACGGTGTCAGCTTGAGGCAGTTCTCACATTTTTTTTTTTAAAGAGGGGTGTTGAGGACTGGAGTGCACAGTAACGCTATACAGTCCAGTCAGATGTTTTAGATTTAACAGCAAAACCTCAAGCAAAGGCACAGTGCAATTCACATTTGCGCATAACAAAATGCACTGATATATTTTACGCTGTTTTGTGAAACCGTGATATGTATGTTAAAAAGGCCTGGCGAACCCTTTCTTTCAAGAGTGCTTTGAAACTAAACTTTTCACCTAGTGCATCAGCTGAATCGAAACTGATTTCCAACCAAAACCGTGTAACTTGCATCCAGCTCTGAATTTGAGGAAAGGAACACTGCTGGTCAAGTGTCAGAACGTTAACCACATGCATTCTGTTCTTTACACGATCGTTATCTACATGCACACCCATGCGCACCACATAAGCCCTTAGTATAAAATAAACTGTAGTACACTTGGTACACTCTAACAGCTGGTCATTAAGTGACTTTCTCAAGCGCACAAATGTGGCAGCTCAAGAAACATCCCTTGTTGAACCTACAACTTTTCAGTTACCACCCCAGATGCTTAACTACTAGGCTACATCATGAACCAGTGAACATATATGCAGACATGTATATGTGTGTTTAAATAATTATTTTTGTGAAAACAATGCCTATACTAATTTATACCTGGGGCCCGTTCTTCGTACGTCACTAACTCAGTTAGCTGGATTTGATTGTTGATGATTTGTCATGATCTTGGATTGGTTGGTTCTTCGAAGCTCATCCAAGCTTCGTTGCTGTCATTGCAACAGGTCCGTAAACTTAAACCTGCTCGGGAGCAGGCTTATTTCATGTAAACGGGATTAGATTGCATCTTTTTAAGCAGAATTGATACTTAAAATCTGTCTGCTACCACCGCTACTTTATTACAAGAGTACCCTATTAATCCAGAGACAATAATTTAAAATAATAATAATTTAAAAATGTATTTAAAGATAATATAATCATTTTGTGTAGTCTTTAATACTATAGACAAAGCCAGTTTTACTCACTTGAAAGATTTATTCGTCATAAAATTATTACTTCATAATTGTATTTGAGTCTTACACACATGCTATACAGATAGTGTAGAGTCGTGCATTAATTTGAGTGATGACAGATATTATAGGAGGGGCTTGATGGAGCGCAGGAGATGCAGATAACATGATCTTGACCCTTAAGAAACAAATCTGTTCAAATATCAAATTAAATGAATTGTTAATTACTATATTGAAGTAAAAATGTAAAGCCTGTACAAATAAATCGTGAATATAAATAATTGGGAATCATGTAAAAAATTTAAATAAAATCAAAACAGTGCACATTTCATTTATGTACACTTTAAAAAATGCTGGGTTATTTCAACCCAACTTTGGGTCAAATTTGGACTAACCCAACTTTTGGGTTAAATTTTTACATTAAATGGGTTAGTCCATATTTGACCCAAAGTTGGGTTGAAACAACCCAGCATTTTTTTAGAGTGTATTATAACATTTATGTAGTTTTGTTCGCTTGGCTGTTTCCTTATAAAAGTCCAGAAATTTGTCAAGTTTCGTCATGTGTTTTTTTTTATTATATGATGTCATTACGTTGCGGTCTTGCCGCCAGCCAATCGCTGCATTGCTGATCGTGGTTTCGAATATCGATACATAGCCCCTTTTAAACCAACCCATGAACGAGCAATTATCTCAGATAACTCAATCCAATCACATGTGCATTCGAAGAACTGAATTAGCCAGATCCTGATTAGCGCGATGATATCATCTTGGATGTGACATTTCATCTTGGATGTAATAAGCGAAGTACGAAGAACGGGCCTCAGACCCATTGTTTTTATGCTTATGTGTTCATTTTTATTGTTTAACCCTCTATGGAACTAATTGTGAATTCACAGCTTATAATTGACTTTATATTTGACAGATATTTAGGAGTAAAATCCTTTTCCACTCATGAAAAAATCACTACCCTCAACTTTGATTTTGGGTGCGTCGATCAATCAGTAACATCACTTTCAGACAAAAGATGGACATTCAGACGTTTGGGCAACAAGCCTTCCTCAGTGAAGTGAGGATCTTTTGTCTGAAAGTAAAATCATTTTCCAAAATTTGTTTTCTACATATGACATTTGACCTTTTTTTAGGGTTCTGTCATTTATAATTGTCTTGAGGCACTTTCGCACACGTAGTTCTAGGAATTCAGTTATAGAAACTAGCCAGAATGGTGGTTCCTAGAGAACCAAGTTCTCCCTCGGGCTGCATTCGCACCAACAGCAGGAACTCTGAAGCGGCCGACAGCGACGTCTTTACAAACATCTACAACCGGTGAATGGAGAATGCCTTGATCAGAGCTGATTTTGTTGAGTGTCGTGGGTTTTGTGGTAACAGATAATGGAATATAAATGCACAAGTTACACAATTAAAAGAGCATGAAAATCTGACTATGACAACATGCAGTGTTAAATGCCATTGTCACTGTTTTCCATGTTCGTGGAGTAAATATTTTTTCATGGCTTTTTAAAAATGCAGAGTAGCCAGTGCTTTGTATGCATTTGGCCAATCAATGTATGCTTACGTCACTGGTAGCTCCTGTAGAACTGATTTAGACCCTACTCTGAAGTAAGAGCTAAATTAGTTCCACCATAATGGAGTTTACATTTTTAGTTCCTGCAGTCAGAACACACCAAAAAGGGGTACTTCCGCTAATATTTCTAGGAACTATGAAAAAGTTTGGCAAATTGTTGAAACTTTACAGACAATCAAATGCTGAAAAGAAGCGAAAAGGTCTTACTGTTTCAAAAAACATAAAAAATCCTTATGAACATTCAATTTGTTATTGTGCTGCCATATCTGATTTGGAATTCACCAAAAAGTCTAAAAACTGACACAAATTCAGATGCAATTTCACTGCCTGGAAACCAAGTCTTAGTGTTTTAAAAGCATTAAAACGTCTTTAACGTTGTGTTTTATCTTTGAATTTCAAATCAATTATCGCAGCACAAGTGAAAGACAACAAGACTCTTCTTGTTCAGTGTACCCCACACATCCCACACGTAAGTAGATGTTGACTTGTGCAATCATTGGAGCAACCCTGCCTGCCAGAATAGTAATGCCAGTAGAAATTGGCATTTTTCCTGACTTCTGGTTGTTGTATGGATCACATCTTTCAAACTGGCATACGATAATGCACCCAAATGCCTGAATTCCACAACAAATGCCTTCACCCTCATTGCCTCTATCCTTCTTGATCCTCAACAACTCAATTTAAAAGGTCCGCTGTAAAATCAGCATGCAGCACCCAATGTTTTTGCGCGGATATTGGAACAAGAGTGAAGTACAAAGCCTAGTTTACATAATGAATAACAGTTTATAGGCTAGGGCCGATAGACGATGCCATTGTCCATCACCGATGGCTGACAGAAATCACGATGTTGAGTCAATAATTAATTATTAATTTATTTATTAATTAATCACACTACAGTGGGTACGGAAAGTATTCAGACCCCCTTAAATTTTTCACTCTTTGTTATATTGCAGCCATTTGCTAAAATCATTTAAGTTAATTTTTTTTCCTCATTAATGTACACACAGCACCCCATATTGACAGAAAAACACAGAATTGTTGACATTTTTGCAGATTTATTAAAAAAGAAAAACTGAGATATCACATGGTCCTAAGTATTCAGACCCTTTGCTCAGTAATTAGTAGAAGCACCCTTTTGATCTAATACAGTCTTTTTGGGAAAGATGCAACAAGTTTTTCACACCTGGATTTGGGGATCCTCTGCCATTCCTCCTTGCAGATCCTCTCCAGTTCTGTCAGGTTGGATGGTAAACGTTGGTGGACAGCCATTTTTAGGTCTCTCCAGAGATGCTCAATTGGGTTTATTCAGGGCTCTGGCTGGGCCATTCAAGAACAGTCACAGAGTTGCTGTGAAGCCACTCCTTCGTTATTTTAGCGGTGTGCTTAGGGTCATTGTCTTGTTAGAAGGTAAACCTTCGGC